GCAATAATCCTAAGGCAAGTCTAGGATGTCTTACTTGGCTGAATATATATTCACATTACTTTTATTATTATTATATTATATTATATGCTTTAGTATACTGGATTATGCAACTGTCTTGATTAGAATTAGCAGACCAGCTTATCTAACTAATTGTAGTCTAGCTAGAAAAGTGAAGAGCATTTAAAAGTTTGAGCTTATATTATTATATTGTGTAATTTTTCGCTGTATTTTTTGTTTTCCAATTCATAGAATTATTAAAAGCTGTTATTTCCCTTGCCGAAATGTTTCGTCTAAATTATCAAGTATATACTCAAAGGCTATAGAGACTAGTAAGACAATTTTGATTTGTAATGAAAAACGAAAATGATTACAAAACATTTAAAATAACTCTCCCCCCTATCTCTTTCTTAAAAAAAAAAAAAACATTCACTCTCATTTATCTGTCATTTTAAAGAATTTGTTCGATTTTATATCTAGAGTAGAGTTTCTCGATAATATACGGAACAACTTAAATTCAAAAATGCATATGTAATTAGACGACATATTACATAGATATAATAAGAAGATATAATCAATATGTATTCTACGATTCATTTTTTATTATTTGAAAAATTTTTATTCATTTATTTTTATTAAAAAGTTCATACATAAGTAGAAGATGTCATTCAATGATTTTTTTCCATCACTACAAAACATGCATTAAGAGGACTTCCACATATATTGGATTAACTGTTAACTGCATTCCAAATGGTTAGCTCTAAATAGCTTTCAACTTTCTCACACCCATCGTATATAGAGTGTCACGCCCCAGTGGGGCGTAACTTTAGCCATTTGATTCCCAAGCCTGCACTCTAGCTATCGTCCCAGCCGTGCCCCTCATCCGCTGGGTCAGTGAAGCGTTAACTATAGCATTTTTGCCATTCCGTTTGTTTATTTGTTTGCATTGTTTATTTGACAGTATGAAATCATGCAATTACCTGTTCCGTAGTCATCGCCTTCTATTAATAAAACAGTGAGCCATTCAGCAATATCGTGTTGATATCTGCATCAGCTGATATAGGGGCTAGTTTTTGTGGGTTCGATGTGGCACAGAGTCAGAGATCGTTGACTTTGGAGGCTCTTATCGGCTGTAGGAAGTGAGAGCGGGTAGACTATATAGATAAAGCTGGCGGCATGATAAATGAACAGCTATCAATAATGAGAGGCTGCAGCAAGCACTCTCAATGCTGGCTTCAGTCTGAGTATTTACCTGCAATCAAAGCAGTTTATATATATATGTGTTTTTTTTTTTGTTTTTTTTACCTCGTGTTCGCTCTCTGTGTGCACTTCAAATGTTTGTTTACATGCCTGTCTGTGTGTTTGTCGAGCCAGCGAGAAACAAACAGCGCGACGAGCGAGCCACTCACTTTTCTATAGCTCACTTAAACTTATTTACAGTCGTTTATTTGTTTGTTAGCATAGGCAAACGCTGCGTATACGCAATGCGCTCATCTTATCAGCGATTCAACTAGACATTTGTTTCACTTTTTACTATAGGTTTTGATTCGATTGATTTTATCGAAGGACACTAACTGACTCGGCATTCACCCACTTTACCATCTGCATACGTATCGAACAATTTCCCCGCTTGACTTTTCCAATTTGCATATGCAATGAGCGCAGCTCGAGGCAAAGCTAAATGCAACTGTAATAAAGGTGTTAATGCTTACAGACTCTAAACAGCCGCAAAAGCAAACTAGGTTAAAGGCGAGTCGGGTCGGGCAAGGGTAGACATTGCGCATACGCAGCGTTGCACCTAAACCATAAAAAAAACAATTCAACACTGCTACCACTGCTGCCGCTGTTTGTTCAATAAAAGTTAAACGAGCTAGCAGCTTAACTAGGAAGAATTGTTGCAAAAATGAAGCCGCAACAGAAATACACTTTCTTTTTAACAAGATGGATATCAATATATTGTATGGTAAAATACGGCACAGCTGGATCACTTGATATGGACATTGATTGCATTTAAGATTACGACATAAAATATATTCTGTGCACAAGTTTTAATATCTTTAAAATTATTATTATTTTAGATTTAGATAAGCTCCAATCAATATATGGAAATTAAGGTTTTTATAATTATAATTGATAGCCTGTCTGTCAGTTAGCTTCATTTTGAAACAGATCTTACTTCCTCTATTCGTCCAAGTTTAGATACATACCTTTGGCTGTTTAGAGTTTTATTGCTTCATTCAATGCCTAGCAGGTGGCGCGAAAGTATCGCATAAATCTTGGCTCTCAGTCACAGCTAGAGCTCGAAACTCAATTAAAATACCAAGTTCAGAGCCTGCCAACGTGCGAAACTGACAGCTGACAGATGGAAATGGAGATGGATATGTAGATGGAGACGTTGGTGGAGCTGGGAGTGAAAAGCGCCTGTGTCGGGTCACGGACTCAACGTCAACATTTCACAGACTTCGTCACTCACTCGCTCATTCACTCACTCATTCACTTAGTCGCTCGCTCAGCCATTCGGTACAACTATCAATCATTCAAGACTTACATTGCTCATTTTTCAGCATTTCGTTTGCGGCAGGTGCAAAAGTGCAAAATTGACGATTCGAAATAAGCCAAAGTTCAAAAGTTTTGTCGCCCTCACTGACAGCCTGAACAGGGCACAGGATATTGCTAATTGTTATATTGATAGAACTCTCTCTGTTCGCTTGAAACTCGCCTCAAGTTTCACAGCAGGCACAACTCTTGCTTGCCAACACCTGTCAAATACAATATGCAGTTGCGTTACCTGTCGAAAGTCGACTGTCCGCTGTCCGCTATCAACTGTAAATACAGCGAGCCGCTTCTCTTTAATTATCTGAGCTCAAAAATATATTATTTAGATTCTTAGCGGCCAGAACGTATGCTTAACGAACTGATTTGATATAACTTAACTACTTTTGCTTTGATTCTATTTTATTATAAATCTTATAAGCTGCATATATCTAAAAATATCTAGAGTTTCTTATAACTATATTTATTTCAAGAATAAGTCAAGAGACTTGAGCTTTATTTTGTCTTTGTGTAAACTTAAAAACTTAAGCCTAATAACTCAACCAAGCTTTTACTTTAATTATTTGCAGATTTTGCTACATAGTTGAGGAACTTAAAGAAGGAAAACTCTAATTCAAGTAAGTAACAGTTAGCATAAGTCCCGTTATTGGCAGACAGGTGATTCTTTTTTATGAGTCTGTGACTTTTATGACTGAATAAATTAACTACATGAAATCCGTAAATGCCGCGGCGAATCCTAAAAAAAAGTCTGGGACAATCACAGAGGTTAACGAAACTTCTATTCCATTCCGGACAATTAAATGCAGTTTCGTTGGCTATTCGATTATTTCCATTTGGGTGAACTCTATGCGCTGAGGGGAGAGTTAAAGGAACTAACTTGAACTGTCACCTCGCTGTGATGTGCATTGGAGATGCCTTCAATTGATGTAAAAATCACGAACATGCATTTAATTCATTTGGCGCCTCGTCTGGCAAATGCTGTGAAAGCTGAAAAACATCGGCCTAACAACATTTTTGCACGCATTTTGTAGCTTGTCGATTCGATTTAATTCAATTGGCTAACACATATTTCCCCATCTTGGCCAGCATTCAATCCATTTACGAATGCGAGTATGTATGTATGTGTGTGTGTGTGTGTGTGTGTGTTAGCCATTAAGGGGCATTGAATAGTTTTCCCAGCTATGGCTGGGCTGCCTAGTGACTGCTGCTGTTGCAATGGTCCTTTATTGCCATTCCTTCATTGGGTTCGTATCTTGTAGATATTTTAATGCAATGTTTATGCGCATTTCTGCGCACTGTAATGTGTGGCTGTCCTATAACCATTCACAATAATTTCAATTGTGATTCATGAGGCAATCGTCTCGCAAGTCCCATTGTCTAGTAAAGGCAATCAGAAAGCTCTTGAGATTCTGCTTTTCTGGAACTCGTCAATTGCTGCTCAAGAGAGAATTTTAATCCATCAAAGAATGATTTTCGTGCTAGACTTTGGGCAAGAGCATTTTAATTTAATAATATTATATATATTTTATACAAGTTTTGTGCAGGCATTGAAATAATTTTAATTAAATATTCAAATAGTTATTATAAGTTGTAATATGTAGGAATTTAATAAGAATTACATAAGGGGTCTGATCCTTTGCAAAAATGTTATACATGTAAAACGATATTTTCTTCTGCCTATTTTTGTTGGAATGTCCTGGATATAATAATAATAATGAAATATTAATATGTAGTACGTATGGCATTTCCTAGCCTCAGCTTTACTTATTCTAAGACAGCAGCTGTGGCTAACAAACTAAATTCAATGATCCACAACTTGTAATAAACACACATTCAATGTTGGCAGCATAATCTGAAAAGACTTTTCAACTTTTAATCTTCACAAATAAAACGACATTAATGTGTCAAAATTAGTAGAGCCTAGCATCATGCTAACCAAACTATAAAGCTCTACGAGTAGGGAATTATGCCACGCCATGCACAAGACCGAGGAAGTTTATCCCGCTCGCACAGCCAGCGGAGATATAAATTAGTTTATAATATAAAAAAATAATGAAAGAGAGAGAGAGAGAGAGAGAGAAAAAAAACCGCAACGACCGCAAGCTTATAAAAATAGTCTTCATGGGCTGCGTTGTGTGAAAATTAACAGCATCAAGCATTCGAGAAGGCATAAATTGTAATAAAAGTCGAAAAAGTGAAACAGCTGCTGGCAAATGGGAGAGGAGACCAACTATGTTGTGTTGCAGTGGGGTGTAACCAACGGCCTAATACTCGTTCACAGTCCAATTAAAACTGAAAACTGGACAACAATAAACTATGATTTATGCACTAATGGAATCTATCCAAAGCTAATATAGCAATAGAATTGTGCGTGTATTTGAAAGGTTGGGAATATAAAATGCGTTAGAAAAGTTTTCTGTAACTTTATTGTCTACAACAATTATACTTTTTCTATGAGTGAGTGCTCGCTAGATAAGACAAGCTAAGAACGAGAATACGAGCTTAAATCCAATAAGGCTTTGGGCTGATTCTCAGCTTAGTGAGCCATGACATCGTGAACTCGATTGAATCGTCCGGTGGCCTGACGGAGCGATAGGCCGCGCGTCTCTGGCATCAGCACGGCAAAGATGATTAGGCCCACCACCAGGATAATGCCCACAGCCAGGAAGTATTGGTAGAAGAGATTTAACTTCATTGCACATGTCTCAATAACAATGATGTGAATCACTTGCTCGAGGCAGACGATCAGAGCGATGAAGAAAGACTTCACCTTCAGGGGGAACGCCTCACCCAAGTAGGTGGAGGTGCAGGGTATGTAGAGCCCAGCAAAGAACTGGAAGGCCATGGACAGATGACAGACCTGGCTCATGTAATAAGTGCTTATTAGCCTCGTCGCATCGGAATAGATGCCTGCCATTCCCAGCATCAGGCCGGCCATGCACAGTAGACCCAGCAGCGAAACGAACTTCCGTCCCACCCTGTCCAGTAGAGGCATGGAAAAGAAGGTGCCAAACCAGCGCAGCAAGCCCCACACGATGATGGGCCAGTTGAAGGCTAAATCCGCAACAACAGTGCTCGTAATCATGGAGTAGCTCAAGGGCAATGAGATTGTAAGCGGCACGAGGCAGCGGCTGAAGAGCATTTTGATAAAAGGCATCACAGAGGCCGCCAATAGGGCGCCGGAGCTCTGGCTGGTAGCTGTAGACACATACTGCTTGGCTTCGTCCAGGGCTGCGTTATAGATCTCAGCATTCCCACTGTGGGCGTAGAGTATCTTCAGCTGTGTTAGCGCCTGTTCCTCATTGTTTTTGCGTAGATAGAAAATGGGCGATTCGACGGATACGGCCACAAATGCTGTGGCGACCAAGGAGAAGACAATGCCAAAAATGCCATGCGCACTGTTGATGCCGTCATCTAAACTAGTGTCTAGGATCACCTGGATGGCAATGCCCAGCGCCAAGCCGTACTGCTCTACGCCACACCAAAATCCACGGCTGTTTTTCATCGTGATTTCCGAATTGTGTATGATGAAGGCAACCGTTATGAGCCCGATGCCTATTCCGCCCACATAGCGTGCTGCTAATAATGAAGTGTACTCGGATGTGCTCACGAATATAATTCCATCAATCAACAGCATCAGTCCTCCTAATGTCTAAATCAAAATAGAATAGAATAGAACTGGATTATTACTGGTTTAATTTATCACTCATTTTCAACCTGCTCACATAGAAAACCGATTTGGGAATGTGGTTAATGGTCAAACCCGACACAAAGGCGCCGATGATGACGCCAATGAACCAGCTGTACTGCATCTCTGAAGTTGTAGGCAAATCCGTCGATATATTCCAGCCAAGGCCCTGAGCCATATCCATTCCGCCATAAGCAAACAGCAAAATGCCTAGAGTAAAGATATGTTTGATCTAAATTTTGCTTGAAATAAAGTGGAATGAATAGGAACATACAAATCGCATACTATTAGATCTATTTATACTATCTCTTTACATTTGAAGCTGAGAGATTTTTTCCAAAAACTTTTTAGACATCTCATGTATTAATGAAATCTTCAATTTATCATTAAATATACATATATCTACTCCTTAATTTTTTTTTATATACTTGTTTGAATAGTTATTGTCGATATGATAAATAATTCTTCAGTTTCAACGGATTATTTATACGACTGGGTCTTCTCTATTAAGACAAAAAGTAATTAAAAGTAAATCACATGGAATTACACATAAATCATATGCAGTAAATGTCAAATAAAAATAGTCATAAGGTCAAGTAAAGTAATTTGTCCTTATGTCATATTTCTCTAGAGAATAATTACAAATCGGATTTTCTAATAAATCTATTATTTATATTTATTGAGTCACTCGCGTACTTTTATGTTATTATATCAAATAATTGATTTTTTAACAAATGGCGGGGACTTTTTTCATAACCAAAATATTCTAGAAGTTTTTTTTTTAAGATTATGTTTCTTTTGATGACTATAGTAACGAATAATAATGAATCATAATATTAGCAATAATTTGAATTTGTTAAACTATATATTATTATTCTTTATGTATAATACATCTATATCATACAATACTGTTACATATATATGATATGAAATGTCAATTAGTATAAGCTACGTTGCTTAATTATTTAGATATGATAACGCAATATCAGTTCTTGAATACACAAAGAAGACTTTCTATTTTTTTGGCTATATACGTACAAATGTGCCTAATTTCTAAATTTTGTGTTCCTCAGTTTGAATATTAATATATATTCAAAATATATAATATATTATTTATACCATATATAATTAGTATTTAGAAAGAGTATATGTCTATAGTATATATTTCTTCCCACCTGATGCCGCTGTGTGAGCATTCTGCTTGGTGGGTCGTCGAGTCCGCACCTGAACATAGGTGGTTTGTGGTGGTAGTGGAGGAGGACCTGCAGTTACATAGGTTACCTGCGCTGGCTTCGATTGCTGTGTGGTAACATAGGTAACTTGTGCTGGCTGTGCTTCGTTTGTGGTAACATAGGCGATAGTCATTTTTTTGGTCACTTATTGGTCACGCGTGTGTTAAGATTCGTTCGACGTAAAGGCTACTTCGTAACTGACTTCACAGCGTCAATTTGTTCATATTTATGTGAAAAAGAAAACTCCCTTATCATTATCTAATTATAGATAATGTATACAAATTGTAATCGGTATATATATATATATTTTTTTTTTTACCAGCCCCTTGACCATCCCACTTCTGATTTTGATTCATTATGGAACTGGGCCCGCTCTATATCTGGAAAAAATACGCACTTAATTACTGTTGGCTTTATTGATATGTATGTATTTATACATAGATAAAGATATATGTATTTATACATAGATAAAAATATATATAATTGCAAATCTGTGAAAAAAATATTTAAAGAAATGGAGTAAATATGTTGAAAGAATTGCGCATATTATAAACAGCTAAGGAAGGATCATTTTTAGCTAAAAACTATTTCATTTGTAAGAAATACTCAACATGTATTTTAGTTAGAAGAATATTTGAATATAGCGGTTGAGCCACCCAATCATATTTAATATTTTTATTAATTTTTATTTTGTACATTATAGTTCATAATATTATAATAATATGAATATTATTATTATATGTGATGCAGGTATCAATTTTATTTTTATTAATATGTGCCTTTAATAATATTGCGGCTAATCCATAGTCAATGAATAAATATTAGAAAGATTCAGCTTATCCAGGAACTTGATCATTGCTTCAATGAAATTTGAACCAAGGCCCAGTTGGATACAAGCAGAATTCCAATTTGACTGTGTGAAACATGTTTGGCCCCACTGTAAGTTGCTTCTCAATAGGACATCACGTCATAGTAACGACAGAAGCGCTCGTTAGCCTGTCGGAGGGAGAGGTCTCGAGTTTCGGGCATCAAGACGGCGAAGATGATCAGGCTGACGGCCAATATAATGCCCACGCCAACAAAGTACTGGAAGAAGCAGTCAGAGGTCTTGCCGAATGTGACGATCACAATGATGTGAATCAGCTGCTCAAGGCACACGACGAAACCAATGAGATAGGGCTTCACCTTCATGGGGAAAGCCTCGCCCAGGTAAGTCGGCGTGCTGATCACGAAGATGCCAGCAAAGATCTGGAAGGCCAGGGAGACGCGAGACACTTCTGCCATATAATAGGGGCTTGAGAAGTTCGGATCGTGCGTAAAGATGCCAGCCAGAGCGAGCATGAGGGCCGCCATGCACAGGAGTCCCACCAGCGAAATGAACTTGCGGCCGAGCTTGTCCACCATGGCGATTGCGATGAGGATGCCAATGAGGCGCAGAATGGTCCACAAAATCAATGGCCAGCTGTGCATGGTATCCTTCCAGACCACCGTGCTGTTCAGCATGGCAGCGCTGAGCGGATAGGAGAAGGAGAACGCCACAAGGCAGCGGCTGAAGAGCATTTTGATGAAGGGCATTCCGGATGCCGCGAGCTCTTCGCCGAAGCTGCGACTGTTGCTCTCCATGACGTAGCCCTTTGCCTCGGCAAAGATGGCCTCATATATATCCGTTGGCACCATGGTGCCCAGCAGCCGAGTTTGACAGTTGCGCGCCTCATCCTCGTTGTTGCTGCGCAGGTAGAAGATGGGAGACTCAACGGACATGGCCACGGTGCCGGTGGCCAAGACGGTGAAGATAATGCCCATGATGCCATGCGCCGTATTGATGTTAATACTCGAGTCGTAGTCCCATTGCGAGTCCATCAGCACCTGGATGAGTATGCCCAGGGACAAGCCGAACTGCTCCATGCCACACCACTTGCCACGTGTATTGCCCAGAGTTACCTCCGAGTTGTGTATGATGAAGGCAACCGTGATCAGTCCCATGCCCACTCCGCCCACATAGCGAGCGGCTCTTATTGGGTCGTACTTGAATGGTGCACTCACAAAGATAACGCCATCAATGAACATCATGACCCCGCCCAGGAGCTAGAGAAGCGCGCAGTTATTAGTAGTTCGATTAGATTCGCATAAATTCCCTGACTCACATAGAAGTATTTCTTTGGCACATGGGTTATTACAAGTCCTGCTACAAAGGCTCCAATGATGACGCCAATGAACCAACTGAATTGAATCTCAGCTGTGTTTGCAATACCCGTTCCCAGATTCCATTGAAGACCCTGGGCCATATCCATTCCGCCATAGGTAAAGAGCAGGAATCCTAAGGGAACCAAATTGTATAATTATCATTAATTTATTTGTAATTCACTTAAACGAAGGCAAAACAAATGGAATAGCTGAACTGTCTAGAGTAAATCCAATTCCCGTCAATAGTATTTGAATATATATAATTAACTGTTAATTAGTATTTCACTAAACGTATTACATAATGCATAAAGAGTCACCTGATAGACAAGGTGCGTAAATTGAATACAACTGTTATTTCTATTCATATTTAAATTACTGAAATAATTTTTGTTTCGTTTTGGAATGTATTAAAATGTTAAAGAAACGAATTTCATTTCGAAATTGAAAAATCATAAATTGCAAACTGAAGGAAAGAGAGCCATAGAGAGGCATTCCAAAACTTCTTATCAGGAATTTAGTCACATATTTAAATTTTTTGGTTGGGCGTTTCCATGTCGGGCGACTTACCAAAGGTTGCCGTGTGGGCGTTATGTCCATTTGTCCAGCGATTGTAGCCGCGTTGGGTTCGAGGATCTTCGATTACATCGATGTAGGTCAGTTGCGGTTGTGGAGCGCTCGTTGCTACAAAGGCTGGCTGCACACCTGGTGCTGGACCGCTGATTACGTAGGTGGTCGCCATTGGGACTCGCGTGGACTCTCAACTCAACCCGCTAAACGCTTGTGCAAAACTAATTTGAAGGCGATAATTTATGCGTTTATTTATCGTTAAATAAAGAATTCGTTATCTGCCTAAAAATGTCAGATATAGATATTATTACCGTTTTATAGATAGACAAAATTTTTGTGCTCTGCGGACGAGTTAACTGTGGTACCTACGGCAGCTAGATACGATCGTGATTCACTTCAGCTTGTGCCTGCCTATGCGTAGTCCCCAGAGACAATGTTCATAGTGCTGATTAAGTATGTAGAAGAGCGAATAATTTCATTGTGACTCACTGAAAACTCTTCGAGCTCGGGTTCTCTGCTGGGGGACACCTTTTGATGAATCAGCAAATATTTTGCTGTCATTCGCGAATGATATGCTAGCCAAGATTGATTAGCTACATGATATGTATCAGATCATGTCATGAAATCGGCGAAAGAATCTCCCGCATTGGAGCTCTTTCCTCTTGAAGTTTGTGGTGTGGGGAGAGACAGACCAACAGTCTTTCAATATCATACTTTGGGAACAGCATTCTTACACAACTTGATTTTTTGTATAAATTTGACTCTTTAGTATATGTACTCTTTTTCACTTCTATAATAATAAAGTATATAATAAAGCAACTCGGAGGCGTCATTAGGGTATCTGCGCGTCGATTATCTCTGCAGTTTCACTTGTCTATGTTGGCAATGCCTTCGACCCTCTGTCATATTCACCTAATGTTCACAAATCTTAAGTAATCCCCAGATAACAAAAATGCGTGAGGCTATCAATGCCAAGTAGTAACAAGTTGATAAAAATATTAATACTTTTATTACATTTCTCAGTTTATTGATACTAAAATCGATATGTTACTATTATTGGTCTTCATCGCACTTTGTATGCTAAAAATAATTATACGCATTTATATACCAAATTTCGATCTGTCGACGATTCAAATTCTCTTACCGAAATTCTTTAATAAGAATCCAAACGGTATTCGAGCTCTGTTTTCAACGTGTTAAAACTTAAACTTTAATTATATACAGCAAACAATTGTGTTCTTTAGGCTTTCTTTATTTTACATTTTTCTTATAAGCACAACCTATCACTAATTGGATTCCTGTTTAGTTTAAATAAAATTAGACTGCCTAGCTTGAGATATATGTATATTTTCAAGCGTGTATGAGACTTCAGTTGAAAAATTCATCGTATCTTCGTTAGTGGGCCTCGAAATGATATGTCATGAAGGCGGCGGAAGCGATGGCCAGCCTCTCGTAGTGTCATCTTTGTCGTTTCTGGCAGCGTCACCAACAGGCTCAGCATGCTTATGAGTAGGATAATGCCGACAGCCAAATAGTATTTGTAAAAGCTGTCTGGAGTCTTTTTGAAGGTGACGATCACAATGATGTGGATCAGTTGCTCGATGCACACGATGAGGGCAACGCAGAAGGGCTTGACTCGCATGGGGAATGCCTCGCCCATGTAGGCGGGCGTGCATGCAACGAACAGGCCGGCAAACATCTGGAAGGCCATGGAGAGGCGACATACCTGCCCCATGTAGTATGGACTATTCGTGTTGGCGTAGTTGGAGTAGATGCCGGCCATGCCCAGCATCAGGCCGCCCATGCAGACAAGGCCCAGCATGGCGAGGAGCTTGCGGCCCAGCTTGTCCATCACTAATATGGAAATGAGAGTGCCGATCCAACGCAAAATTCTCCACACGATGATTGGCCAGCTGTATAGAGTGCCCTTCCAGGCATCGCTGCTCGCTATGATTGTCTGGGTGAGCGGCATCGAAAAACTGAATGCGACGAGGCAGCGGCAGAGCAGCATTTTGATGCAGGGAACGATGGCAACGACTAGATCGTGCCCAATGGTTTCGTGTGTGCCCTCCGAGACGTAACTTTTGTTCTCCTCCAGCGCCTCACGCTGATCCTTTGGCGTTGCTTTTTTATCCATCAGCTCCCATTGGCAATCACTGGCCTTGTCGTAATCATTGCGGCGCAGGTAAAAGATGGGCGACTCCACCGAGAGTATCAGGACGGCTATGGCAACAATAGCAAACACAATTCCAATGATGCCGTGGACTTGATTGTTGCCAAAGGGCAGGGCCGGGTTCCACATTGAGTCCATGATCACCTGCACGGCTATGCCCAAGCCCAGGCCGGACTGCTCTACGGCGCACCACTTGCCGCGAGCGTCGTTTGGCGCCACCTCCGCGTTGTGTATGATAAAGGCCACCGATATGAAGCCAATGCCAATGCCTCCAATGTATCGAGCTGCGACCATAGCATCGTAGTTATACGGCGCACTCACACAGATAATGGCATCGATCAGCTGCAGCACAGTTGCAAAGGCCTGGATAGAAGCACAGGAGCATTATTCAAATGCAATCTTATAGATAGTCTCTGATTTTCTCACTCACGTAGAAGAAGAGTTTGGGCACGTGGCTAAATGCAGCTGCTCCCAATATCGCCCCAATAATGACGCCAATGAACCAACAGAACGAAAATTGTTGGGTGTCTGCGATTCCAGTGTACAAATTCCAGCCGAGACCCTGTGCCATGTCCATGCCTCCATAGGAAAATATTACCATTCCTATGAATTAGATTGAATACAAATCAAATTCGATGCGCTTTTTCGCTAATTTTAGGCTAATGCAATTTTTGGTAATCGAAATGGCATGCGGCATATATTTGGACTTTATTATAATTGTGATAGCTTTTAGTTGCGCGTATCATCGTTTCATCTATTCACCTGTTATGATGGAGTGCAATCTCTGACGATTGACGCAGCAATTCTGCAGCTTGCTGTCAGGTCGGGTGTTACTTCCCACCTCTATGAAGATATCTGGGTTGGTTTGACCCACAGCCATTTTCTTTTCGTCTTTATTTTTGGTTCGTTCGCTTCGATGGCTGTGCCAAAACTGTTTTCTAATGGTCAGCTAAATATGTTTTTATAAGCAAGGAACATCGATATCATTGGGTGTATTGATGACTGCCAATTGGAATCACGTTAACTGCACAGTTAACAGATAACAGACAGCAGACGGTAGACGGTAGACAGCCGATATCAGAGGGCGGTCAGTACCCAACTGTGATTCATGCGACCTAAAGTTCAGTATTTCTTATGCGGAGACCCCACCTGAATTAAGCCCTTACGATTCATTTCGTAAAGCTGATAATGGTCGTGACTCATTGCAGAGCCGTAGAACACTTTGAAAACGGCGGTACTGAATCAGCACACTTAACTTGGCTTAAAGCCGTGTGCCAAACTGTTCGATGACTTTCGGCTGGCTTTATAAAAACTTGAAATTCAATAAATGCATTCATGTACGAATGCATCAAATACGAATGTCTATCTATATTAATAGACTCCTGATAGCGAAGGTATTATTATGGAATGTATGTAACTTGTTTATTTGCAAACTTGCAGATATCTCTATACATACTCTAGGCTTGCCATAGACATATAACTACGCTTATAATTTATTGTATTTCATGCCACTTTCTAATCATTTATACCCATTAAACTATGACTGAGGGAGGACAGCTTATCATATATCTTATATATCCCTGACTACCCCAAGGTAAAAATCCAAAACATTGGTTTGAGTATTTGATATCAAAAGACAGACAACAATCGTTTGATATGCTTTTCACGCTAACATCTATTAAGATCAAGATTCAATTGAAACATCAAGAGAGTCCTATTAAATTACCATAAATATTAAAGAAATTGCTTCGAATCCTGATTGGACGCCAAGAGACGCTGTATTATTATTATTACACTTAACAAGCATTTATAATTAAGCAATGCACTTGGAGAGTTGGGTGTTGCCACACCTTGGCCCAACCCTAAATGACTGGCCAGGCCACTTGAGTTGTGGCAAGTGTCTAATATGGATGGCGCTGTGCAACATCTTCATTAGCTGACAGCGCAAACAAACGTCATTAATGTTGCAGCAACAGTCGACAGCAGGCAACCGAGCCAAGCAACATCCCTCTGGCGGCAATCTCAAGTGTTTGCTCGAGTTGTCTCAAATTGCGTAAAGTCTACTCTATCACAGCTCCAACTCCAACTCCAACTGCAATCCCAATCCAGACTCCATCGTCGCTGTAAGCCAATCTATCTTGTTGCGCATCAAACTGTCAAATTGTACACATGTCTCTGGCACTTCTGTGAGAGAATATTAGATGAGGGGGAAACGGGAAGCAGGGTATGGCAATGCGAATTCTTGGCTGCTCCTTGTCATTTGTCACTGCTCGACAAATTAAGCAAATGTGACGCCAAATGGCCATCGCTTCCATCTGCCATCTTCGCAACGCGTCGCCTCATATTTTGAGGCATTCAAGTACATTTTAATGAGTTTATGCACCAGGCTGTCTAATGGCTCAAAAATTATGAGCGCCGCATCAAGTGCCACCACCAGCACCAGAACCAGCACCAGTCCAAGCGAGCACATATCAGCATTAGCACATGGTGCCCATAATTCACATCCAGACACAGATACAGATACAGATATATAGATACTAATACAGCTAGCTGGAGACATCTGAGCACTTTGCATCAATTTCTGTATACATGCTCGTCTCGTGTCTGAGTGCGTGTGTGTGTGTGTGAGTCTAAGCAAATGCTTCAAGGAAGTGTCTGCCAGTGCCACTAATGGAGTCTAATTACCCCGACCGACAGGCGACGACCGATGCGGATCCCTCCCAGTGCCTTTGGCTAATAAAAGCATATTAAAACGTTTGTCGTTCTTATATGCTTGACAGACAACCAGACAGATAGAAAACATTGGCGCTTGGCGCTTTGACTGACTGTTGCTCATTATTTATTTTCGTACAATCCAAATAAAGCGCAGACCGTAGATCATCAGATTGCACATCACAGCCCGAAGAATTGAACAGCTCTAGACATAAATGTGTGATGAAAATTGTCTTCTTCTACTTGAATCGTTTTCATCGCAACACATAATTCGCTGAAAATGAATATCAATTTCCAATACATATGCATAAGTTATGTCAAGAAATGAAAATCCAATGCCAAACTATATAAATAGCAGCAATGAGTGATATAATAATTTATAATATTAATTTTAAAAATTGCTATAAAATAAATAACAATATGTTTCCGCCCGGGATTGAACCGGGGGCCTTCCGCGTGTTAGGCGGATGTGATAACCACTACACCACGGAAACTTATTGTTTTTTAGTTTAAGCAAAATAAAATTTCAAACGTCTAAAATAAAATTTAAAAAATTTTAATAATAATAGTAATAGATAAAGAAATTGCAAAAAGTTTCGTTTGCCGAAACCCGGGATTGAACCGGGGACCTTTAGATCTTCAGTCTAACGCTCTCCCAACTGAGCTATTTCGGCTAATAAGCGATGCGTGGCAAACGACGAATGGAATCTACTTAGCGAATCAATTTGCAAATGCAAAGCACACCCAATATGTAAATATATATGTATGTATGTATTGCTGTTACAATAATACAATACACTGCAAAACAAAGTTGTGGTCAAACAATGTAAGCAAAATATAAAAAGAAATACTTGCGCTTCGGCTTTCTATAAATAGATAGATGATTTCTCATACACAATATTTCGTATATGCTACATAAATCACTAAAATCCACATTTGCGCAGCTTTTGGCTCGTTTTATATTCATTTATTTATTTATTGTTAGACAGGCAGCCATGAGAATTGCGCTGACAGTTGCACGTCTTTATAAATTTGGCTGCAGTTGGAAAACTTTTTGCAGCTGCAGCATTTTCTCGCGCCTAAGTGTAACTTAGTTCAACGGCGTCTATTTAATATTTCAAGACATTTTATGCACATCAAACAAACTTTTCAGGCTGACAATTGTTAGCTGCACTTGCGTCAATTAAAAATAAAATCGTTTATGCAAAAAAAAAAAAAAAAAAAACATATTACAACACTTTCGTCAGGGAAAATAAACAAGAATATCAAACGTGATCCACACGACATTAGATTGTAAACTTAATGACGTCTGTGCGCAATAAAATAAACATTTTATAGCATATTTAATGCTTTTCAGCGCTTGCATCGAATCGTAGCGGGCAGTATCAAAAATTAAGTGCCACCTTTTTGGCAAAGCTTCAAAATCGGCTGAATTAAAATTCACAGCCAAACATAAATATTGACAAAATAAACTATAAACATTGGTCAAGTTCAAAAAATTTACGATTTCATGAATTCAATATACAATGCAAATTATTAAACTAAATACACAAAAATAAACTAATATTTACTATTTTATTTAATAGTTCATATAAAATTGGTCTCAATAGTTCAGACTTGCCTTATCAGCTATTACATACCACAATCTTTTTCTTGTTGATAAAAAATAAAAATAAGCAAATATTTCAATTATTTTGAGTAACAGTATAAAGTACTGAAACTATCTGTTCTGGTTCGGGTAAGTGGAGTTTGATAAGCCATCACCTCTATTATGCGATCCTACTCAATGCTTATTAATGTGACCTTCTTCATGTGAGTTGCTCATAAGAGAAATGAGTATAAAAAGTCGGATTGAAGGCCAGTCAATGCCGAGGCTCCTTTTGCATTTGTGTCATCGGAGCGGCTCGTGTCCCTCGCTTCGATTGCCTTGGGGCTGAGTGTCGACAAGTGGTTGAATCACCTGATATATGTATATGTATAGGGTCGAACGTCTCTCCTGTGCGTTTTGATATCTTATTTTCTTGATTTTTTTTTTATATTTTATTTTATTTTTTTTTTTTTGCTGTTTGTGTGTGTAACTAATGCGGCTTCCGTTTGACGCCCCGTACTGAAAGCTGAACCCTGACGGCCATTAGCATTCTCAGGCTCAGGGAAAGGTTTGTTTTCGACGTCGGCGTCGGTGTCTTGGTGGAGCAGCAGCCTCTTCTTTGCAAGTGATTCATATTGTTGAAAGCTGATCGCAGTAGCAGCCGAAATTCTTTAGAAGACCCAACCAAAGCCACGCCCACCCAGCAGCTATGATTTATGGCCAGCCCGCTGCAGCAACTCTGAGCTCAGCCCAGTTGTTGACCAGGGCATTTAGTCCAAGGTAGGCAACTTTTCAATAGTCGTCGAATTTGTTGTTTTCGGTGCCATCAGCAGAATATTCATGGGAGAGCGTGAGAGAGGGGTGCGACGAGCGGTGTCTGGAAGCGTTTTAGCTGCTGCGACTATTCGCAGCAGCTTCAAATGCGGCAGCGACGACGACAATGGAGACAGCCAGACAACATTCCTGTGATATGTCACGAGAATTTTTAACATTTGCACTAGAATTTCTATTTTAGTTGCGTTCACTCCACTCCCTCTCTCCCTGTTGCTCTTGGCTCCGCCAGCTTAAGCTGTTCCCCAGCTGGCGAGCCGCAAATTCGAATTTGTTATTTTTATTGAGGTGTTTCTAACGAGTGCATTTCGCTTTCTCGGCCAGTTTGGTTCAAAGTTCCTTGAAACTATGCGCAATTAGATCTAGAATTTTACTACTACTACTACTACTACTACTACTAGTTGTGCGCCCATTTTTGCCTGTTTGCAAAAGGACTCTGTAGTAGGAGATGTGCTATGGGCAGAGCATTTGGTATAGTAGACATGTAAATAATATAATATGAGAAGATGATCTAAATGTGGCTAATTAAGGCTCTTTACGCTTTGATGTTCTATTAATACACTCTCTATTCGTTTGGCATAGTATTGAATTTGTATCCCATATTTTACTTCACATTTCCGTAGGCTTTAACACTCGAAATTCTTAAATTTGGTCTCGTTTGGAATCTGCTGTCTCTCCGTCCGTTTCCCTGCATATTTGCCACATGTCCAAGTTGTCCGAAACTTCAGTTGGTCATATGCAAATGTCGGGCAACGTTGCAGAAGTCCTTTGGCCAACGAGTCCTTTCT